ATTCTGGTTTGTCGTGTGCGCCCCCCCCCCCCCCCTTTTGTTCTGTCAGTCTGAAGAGAACAGCTCATGTGATGTAATTTAGAATGGAGCTTTTTTAAAGCTTTCACTCAGGAAAAGCTTCTGGAGCTCTGGGGGTATAGCTTAGCTCAGAGAAATAGAAAGAAAGCAAGTTTGCATTGACAGCTTGATCCCAGAGAGAGGTGGCTGCCTGCTTGTCTAACAGGTCCTCTGGGTCTGGATGAGGCAGAGACAGAGGAGCAGTCATATTAAGTGAACGTGCGCTGCCAATGTTAAAGGAACAATTACCATTATTCTGCATAGTTCACTGTTTGCTACTGCTATTTCCTTCAATAAAACCTCTTTTCACTTGCCAATTGGAGCTTGTCATGTAACAATATTTCTCATGCACAATACACATACCAAAATGCCCTTGTGTTTTTAATACATTTATAGTTGTTAACAATAGCGGTATAGTGACAGAAAAAAAAATGTACTTGCTTTGAATACAGAATAGATTCAAAGAGGAATAAGCCAAAGGCCATATTCGAGAAGGATTAATGCCATGCTTAGTGGCGCTTCTTCAGGTGGGTAACTGTTCACAGTGGCTAAGCACACAGTCAAAAACCCCTCGGCTGAATTGATTCAATCTTTGCAGGTTAGTCTCAGCTGCAAAGATTGAACCAATAAGCAAGTGAACAGACATTCACTTTTGATTCCAGAAATGCAGCCACATGCCTGCAGTGGCCTAGGCCAGAAGGCTCAGGCTATCCCACCCACCCTGCAAAGAGGAAGGGGGGTGTGCAGGGGTGGTGCAAAGCATCCTGGGATGCTGGGGGACTGTGAGTTAACTTGAATCTGGAGGGGATCTGGGACAAAAAAGTTGAATAAACTGATTGAACCTAAACCAGTTAAGTTTGATACTATATCCATCCAGATTTATCTTAAACCAGTTTTGGCCATTTTGAAAGCAGTTTATGTGCACTGAACTTCTGTTGTGTTACAGATTTGAACCGGTTTCAAATTACTTATACCAGTTTATATGTAATTTCTGTCCCTAGCCAGTGGAAATAGCATTCACAGTTAAACCCCAGCACATTACTAAGGTTAAAGCAAGTGTAGAAGCTGACAGAGGGACGGTGCTAGAGTACTTCTGAATAAAGAACATCGATGCTGGGATCTACTTGGACAAGTTTGGAGGTCTTTGATTCCTCCAGGGCACTGTTCAATCATGTACAAATGCCACAGCGGTGACTGCTCCCTACAACATATTAGTGTGCTATATATAACAGCAAAATCATTCACATCTGATTTTTTTCAGGATCAAGACCTGAATTTGCACAAACAGCTGTTATAAAGGAGAGTTATAAGTGTTATAAGGAGATTTCGGCATTCAAATCCAACTGAACTTCGGGAGATTTTAAACACCCTTAAACTCCTCTGGAAGACTTTACCACTAATAAATCTAGCACACTTAACAGTATTAATGTTACAGAAAGGATGGGAAAACTGGCATTAAAATGTGTCCTGGGGAAAAAACCTACCTTGACACTAATATCACTGGTGGGTTTTGTATACCATGCACCAAATGTACTCTTGTCATTTAACAAATATATCAAATAATAACAAAATACTTCATGCATTAAAATGGACAAATTGCAGTTGGATAACCTCTCCAGTGTAACAATCAAACGGTTTCATGCAACCTCAGGGATCCATTTACCTGGCTTTACTTTTTAATCCCAAACAAGTTTATATACATAATGAAATCCCACTTCTGTATGAATTTCTCTGGTCCCTAATACACTATGTGAGAAGAGAGATAAGGAGCAGGTTTTAAACCAACTTTCTTACACAGCACAGTAATATTTGAACTGCGTGAGCCAGGAGCTTGTTTAAATACAGTTCTTTGTAGCAAAATGTTATTGTGATGTCCTTGGTCAGTGCAGGTCAGGGTGCATTGTGTTGTAAGGCATTTTTTAGTAAGTGCTACAGCTACATGAATTAAGAATGATACAATACATATAGATTGCCCCCAAACTGGAACTTTTTCTTGCAGAAAGCACTCAGGCACGTTGGATAGTTTGGAGAAAAGATGTGTAGACTGGTACATCTTTTCCGTTAGTGACAGGCACTGCTAAACCAGAAATTAATTAAAGCGTGTTGCAAGCTGCTGAAGTTGTGGCAAACGTTTCGGAGCTTGGTCCATGGAAAACAGTGGGAGTCTTTCTATTGACTTGTGAGCTTTGAATCAGGCCTATGTGGATGCTAGACAGAACAAGTACTTTTCAATATAGTCTAATGAGGGCTGCTGAATAGCAGCCAATAAGATGATCAGGTGGCAGTGGCATTGCCTTCAGTACAGTAAGCAAAGTCAACTCTTTTGGGCATCTGACCAGGTGAGAATGAGAATATCGGTTGAGACTGCACTGTTCAGAAGATATTAAAAAAAAAAAAACCAAGTACTTTATAGCTTTTTAAAATTCATATTGATTTAAAAAAGAAAAACCTTGTTAAATATTGAAAGACTTGGAATTTTTTTTCCTGCAAGTCAACAATAGTGAGAAATGTTGTTGCTCTTGTGATTTGCAGCTCAGTTTTAGCAATTTAAAAATATTCAATTACTTTGGATAAGTTTTAGGAAAATATCCTGATTTGATGATATTTACTAGAACTGGTGCACGGGGCATTTTGGTGATAGTAGATGCATAAAAAACCTGCTGTGAGAAAAAGACTTTACCCATATAGCTTCAGCGTCATTCAGAAAGGAATGAGGGACAGGAAAGTCAGGAGCAGTATTAACTTTTCTTGGGAAAATTCACAGATTCTGCCCTGTGATTTATGCAACTGTTTTAACACTTCAAGACAGAACCGTCTCAAAATTAGATCTAATGCTTTAAGTATCTTAGCAGATTTCATTACCCTGGCTTTTGGAAGCATTTCCCCTCCTAATATACTCACTGTTATGCTTCCTTTTCTTAATACGCTAAAAGACTAAACAGAGCCTGTCCATCAGGGAGACTTGCCCTTATTAACATTGTAATGAATTAATAAAGTAAAGCAATGTCCATTTCTGGCTCCCTTCTTCTGGTCAGATTTTTGTTACTGAAACTCGATCGTATTGGCAGACAGTCTAACCTCACCAATCGGATGAGCAATTAACCCTCAGAGGAAGGAAGGGAAAATGAATTAACATAGGCAAGTTGCAGAAGAAAAGAGTATAATATCAAAGGGTTGTTTTTAAATATACACACACACATCTATAGCTATACTATATCTGTACATACACACACATAGATATATATACATATCCATATATCTATATCCATATATCTATACACACACACACAATCAGATCAGTTCAGATAAAAATGTGCCATGCTCTTAAGTTGTGCAATGTGCAGTGAAACATTGCAAATCTAACATTTCCAATCCTTCGTTTGGGCATCGTGGAGGCTTTGCTGTAAGACCCGTTTATAGGACAGTGCATTGCTGAGCTACTTCAGGGAAGCATTTTGCAACTTTGAGTCACAACCTCTCTCTTAATCTTCCTCTACTGCAGGAAAGAGATATAGCTTGTCCCAGCTGTGTAGCTGGTGCAATGTGTGTGCACATGCATACAGGTACAGCTGTTCTCCCTGGTGCATTTATGGGGGAATGCACAAAGCTCTGGGAATTCTCCCACCCATTTATCTAAAGGACTAACAGCATCTTTGAAGGGGCTTCATCTCATGCCGCTACATGCACTATGGATAGCCAGTGCACAGGAGTAAGAGGGTTCCATATGTCCCTTCTGTTGCTATGTAGGATCCATTAATAAAAAATAAATACAAAACCTTAGTTCTGGATTTGGGCAAGGAAGAAGACTGTTGTGGTTTCAGGCAGAGGTTCAGGTTGATTCTTATTTGATTTGAACTGGTTCAATCATCTTTGATGGCAAAAAGTCAGAACATTTCAGCTAG